CCACCAACGCGTTTCTCAATCGCACGAGATACGATGTCGAAGACGAGGAAGAAACAATGCCTGCTGGAACAATGCGTAGCAGAGCCTCGTAGCAGAGCTTTGCTCGTCGCTTCGAAATGCGACTGATGCTGCGATGCGGAGGTACACGAAATCGGGTGATCGCGCGACAAACGGGAAGGATACCGCCGCAGCAGCCTAATTAAAATTTTGAAAAACTCTCTGATCGAGCACTGCCATTGTCACGTGATCCCATCCAATACTTACGTCACTTTTCGCGTGAAGTTTAAAATTTTTCGCGACCCCGTTGTCACGTTGTCCGCTGTGACCGGACTGAAAAAACAATTCGGCAAACACAACACCCGAGGCAAAATGGGAAAAACGAGAGGAGTGCACGAAACAACGCCGGAATTGAGAAATCGAATGGTGGGAATGTACGAAGCTGGCCTGGGCCTGCGAGAGATCGCAGCCGCTGTGAATTGCTCGGTAAGTGATTTTTAAAAGCTGCCTGTTGCTCGTTTCATCTTACACGACATTGTGTTACCATTGCACACAGACGTTCATCCCGTTTCATCCTGTTTCAGCAACGCACAGTAAAGAGATGGTTAAACAGATTCGACAAGGAAGGTACGGTAGAAACTCGGGAACGATGCGGACGTAAGAGGGCCACGACGGCGGAACAAGATGAGGCAATTGTACGACTAGCCACCCAGACACCGATAACAGCGGCAAAAGCTGTACTTCCGGCTTTGGGGCTTACCTGCTCTGTCGACACTATACGCGAAAGACTGCACAAAGCTGGAATTCACAATTGGAGCCCCTCGCGAAAGTACATGCAGAGAATCCCACTTGGGTTAGTTCTTCGATTAGCTGTAACTGCTCTTTTAAACGCAAATATCTTATCCCCTTCTCGTTTGACGTCCCGTTCGCAGCGAAACAGATGGTGTTGCTATACAGCAACCTGTATGGAGACCTACTGGAACGCAATTAGGGAAAAAAAAGTCTTCCAAAGAATCGAGTAGGAATGAAAAGAACGCTGCTGTAACTAAAAAGAGAAATTCATTGAGGAAAATCAGAGCCAAAGATGTGTATGTTGGAGATGGTGCACCGATAGAGAGTGTAAAGTCTTCTAATCAACAGCAGGGGTTTATGTATCAGCAACAGAATCATTCGCAGTCCCAAGTTAATGAGATACAAACGCCACCTCAACCCTCCTTGCATCCCCAAACAGAATTTGGCGATACCCTCAGTTTAACTCAGGAAACACAACCTATTTATCAACATCCTGGTCTGAATATCTCTCAAAATTGGCCTCTGGACCTGGTACAGGGAAGTCACCATTATTCACAGGTTTGTGTTCGACTTGTACGTCCTTGTGTATACGTATTCGTTCCATACATCATTTTTATTTTCCTAAACCTTAGGGTCAACCAAATTCAATATCTCACGAACAAGTAGTTTCCTCTCAACAGCTTCAAGAGTTGCACGCGCAACAAGAACAACATCATATGCAACAAATACCACAAACAATCGCAGATCAGACTCATAATCTTGATCAACAACAACAAGGACAACTTCAAGCAGAAATTCAACAGCAGCAGCAGCAACAGCAACAGCAGCAGCATCGTGATCACTTACATTCTCAATTAGCTGGCTCACAAACCAGCACAAATTTAACTTCTGATAATTCTAATTCTACTCGTGGTCCTCGAGATAATAATCAGTCTTCTAGCATAGAAACTAATCAGAGTAAAGATTCATCGAAAGAAGCTAGTGCGAAAAATGAAGTACACAGAAAGAAAAAAAAGGGCGGGAAAGCGAAAGGGACATTGGAAACCAGTGTTGAAATTCGAAATCGTATGATTGGCATGTCCGAAGCCGGTTTATCCACATTATCTATCGCACTTGCAATCGACAGATCGGTAAGAAGAAACATGTTCGTCTTGATGGATTCACATAATTAAAACCATCTCGAGGGTAGCCGTATACGCAATGCTCGTTATTAAATAGGAACGTACCGTTAAAAGATGGTTAGAACGTTGGCATAAAGAAGGCAACGTACAAACTAAGGAAAGAAAGGGTCGTCGACGAATCACTACTAAAGAACAAGACGAAGCCATTGTTGCTATGGCTACTCAGCAACCGCTAACTGCAGCTAAACACGTTGCGCCTGCCTTGGGTTTAAAATGTAGCGTTGATACAATCAGGGAAAGGCTTCATAAAGCCGGTATACACAGTTGGAAGCTTGGGAAGAAACAGGGGTTAGTATGTTAATAGAAAAAGAAAAAAAAAAAAAAAGGAAAAAGGAACAAAGGAAAGATTATCCTTTGGTACTCACTGATTATATGTTTATCCGTTATATCAAGCAATAGTCGACTATTTTTATAGAGAAGGAAATGCCGTGCATACTGTACACCTTTGGCAACCCAGTGGCAATCGGCCGAACAAACCAAAATTACCGGGCGAGAAGAAGAAAAAATCAAGCAGTAATAGAAAACGCGATCAGGCATCAAACCATACGCAGAAGCGACTATCTACCAGGAAAAGAAAAACCGAGTCGGCTTCGGTAAAGATGGTTTCACCACCAGCAAACGTAATATCGGAACAAACCACCACTTTATCATTCCACAATCCTGGAACAAGTAAGGTCCACCTACATACTTTAACGTAATATCATAATGTATTGCATTCGTTTCGTGTGATCGAAATTAATCGATGATTTTAAAAACCACTTCTTAGTGGCAAACTATGTTTCAGGTTCTAATATAATACAACCTATTCACAATATTCCCGCACCTCCGCCTACAATTGTTCAATCTCAATCGCATCCGCCAACAGGGCCTCCGCCAGCACCTCAATCGATACAACCGATCAGTTCTATGATCCAACAAAGGCCTGATTGTCGGTTAGCACCAACAATTGTTGCACCTGTATCGGGCCAAGGGAATACCGGAGTTGCCTATCCATCGTGTATGATTGGGAGTAACAGTCATGCAGGACATATGGAACAACCAGATCCTTTAAATTATGAACCATACATTTGGAGTTTCTAATCATCAAGTAAAAAAAAAAAAACAATTCATTAAATCATAAACTTCCAAGTCACTCTTACGAGTCACTCGTTCGAGCTCTTAAGATTTTTTATCGCATCTTACAACATTCGATTCGAAAACTGAAATCATCATATTAGCATTGCGTTTATACTATTTATAATAGCGACATAGAGCTAATTCGTCGATCGTAAGTCGCTTTCGTGAAGTATTCCAATATTTCGACGATTGCTAAAATCGAAAATAACTTTTGTTGCTCTGTGACAATTGAAACAGTAGGTCCAATTTTAATCAACTGTAATTGATTTTTAATGTATCTTTGTACTTGCATGCGTTAACTCATTAGAAGTAATTAATTTAATTGTTAATCGGTATCGAACAGAATACAAAATATTTTATGAAAATATATAATTATTTTTCTTCTATTATGTCTTCTATTTATGGTATTATAAATATAATACTGCAAGATATTGATGAATCAAAATCCTGAAGCGAGAAACGTTTAAACATTCACTTTCAACGCGTAGCAAAATAATTAACATCCATCTTTCAGGTATAAAATAAGTTGACATAAATTTATACGTTGGAAAGTGAGTGTTCCATCCTACGCGAAATATAAACTTTTATAAAGTATCTTTCTCAAATTTAAATTGCATTATTAAAAACACTGTTGCTCATTAACCATTACTCTCACTATCAATTCTATTGATTTAAACAACTTTTTATGTTAAATAAAACCGATTGAATCGATTTAAGTTAACATTGAAACAAAAACATATATTGTGTAAATATATATAACGATACACGAATATGAACTTACGTAAAACAGATATATTGATAAAAATAAAAGAAAAGTTATACAACGTTTATTTTGTTATACAATGTATTTTATCTTTGAATCGTCATTCACAATGTGGTAATGAAATATGTGAAATAAATGACTTTAAGAGTAGAAAATTTGTATTGTTATTGTTGTTATCATTACCGTTTACACCTATTCATATTCAGGATTGAAAACAGACCGTCTACGACGTTTAAAACTCTATATTTTCCTATTCTTAGATGTATATATATCTTACGACTACTGACTCTGTTATTACGAAAATTCAACGTCCAAAATTAAGTTCAACATTACTAAACAATATGACTTATCACGTCAGTTCCCATATATGTGATACATTTTTTAACATATCATCAGGACTGTTTTTATAAAACATAAAGAACCCTTGAATTTGCGCTGGACTAACCTGTTTCTTTTGCGATATTACGGATTCTGTGAACTGTTTAGCAAGTTCGTTTGCTCTGTCATCGATATTTCTATAGAATCTTAGAAACATTTGTTCCACTTGTTTTGCACTACACCAGCCTGAAATAAAAGAAACTATTTAAACATTACCGTTTAAATATCATAAGAATTCGATCAATGTTCTGTTGTCTGTAAATATAGTAACAACTTGTAAATTATACCCATACCTATATACTCTTTTACATCTACTCTACCAGGCCTAACTAACGCAGGGTCTAATCTTTCTAAATAATTGGTTGTCATGAACAAAATTCGTGCTTCTGTCGAAGCAACGCCATCCAAACAGTTTAATAAACCACTAAATGTAACTCTATTTAAACCATCGTACGCAGCTTTAACTGTAACAAAGTATACAAAAGTATGATAACGTTTCATTGTAAAGGATTATGTACAATTTTGTCTTTGCTTCAGACTTATCATTTACTTTCTTTGCTTTCTTCTCGGCTAGCAAAGGCAGCATCAATGTCTTCCAATAGAATAATAGTTTGTTGCGGTGCTACCGCTAATAAGTGATTCAGTCTGTCGTCCGTTAAACCTCGTTCTGATAAATTTAAAACGCATATGCCTAGTTCTAATTCACCAGCTAAGGCAGTGATGAACGATGATTTACCGCAACCCGGCGGGCCATATAACAAGTATCCTCGCCGATACGGAATTCCTATATAATCAGAAATTATAAATCTTTTTTATTTTGCGCCTCATGACATTCATTCGAACTATCGTTTACATACCACGATCGCTATACCACGAAGGATTTGTCATAAATTCACGACAATCGTTTATTATCCTTTCTGCAACTCCAGAGTCTAAAACTACCGAATTCAGAGGCCTTCGTTTTCTGGGATGTCCAAATTGTCTCCATTCACTTCCCATTGCAGTATACATTATCGTTTTGCCTTCGAATTCCTTCAATGCCATTTGCCTGGCTACAAATGAATATTTGTCACGCAATTATTTTTTACACAGTCAACTAGTACCTTACCCTCTTCCAAAATATTAAAATAGATATTTCTATTTCTTCCAAAGGCTGTAAGCTGTACCGTTTCCCATGGTATACCCATCTGTATGTCCAATGTTTGTTGCTCTCTAGTTCGTTCTACCCTTATCCAATTTCCTTCGTATCTGTTTATTTTGACATTAAACAAGTCGTTTGCTACACAGTTCAATTATCAAAACGCTTAACCATTATCACAACTTTAAAGCCATTACAACAATGTATCGTACTTGTCATTGCAAAGTGAAATATTGCAGTGATAGGTACAGTTATTTCTAACCTAATAAAATGTGTTCCAATACTCGGTATGAAATCATATCTAGTTTTTATGTGACCTGTTTCTCTTTGCTCGAAACTTGTTTCAACAGACAGATGTTGCGTTTTCCTTGCACCTTTATATGTAATCCATTGCAACAGCCATTGGTAGCTTTTATCACGGCACGGAACCTCTAAGGTGATCATATAATGTCGTCTGTATTTGTAAAATATTCAGTATCATACGGCAGATGATGATAAGTAAAGTAGAATTCGGACGTAAATAATACCTGAATAGTATCATTCCTGCTTGCATCCCTTTTCGTAACAAAGCTGCCCCAGCACCTAACCCAAACAGTCCAAAACCAGCTCCGAAATACGGATTATCGGATAATGTTTGCACGTAATCTATCATCGTCATGATGCAGTTATTATATACAGTTTCTCTCTTAAATTCAGTAAACGTTTAAAATAGTTTCTATCACATGCTGTTTCATTCAGCAAATGTTTAACCACTTCGCATTGCGTGCCCCTTCGTCACCTTTCATTTGCATTACGTTTAAAGTCGCGTAGTTCTGCTAGACTGATACCTCTTGACTTATTTTCGGACAATTTCAATATTGTAAGTCACAAGAGGAGAAATAAATTTAAACTGCATAAAAGAATGTAGGAAATTTGTAAATTTTCTTCAAAAATGCATCAGTAATGTCATTCTCCAGTTACAGTTTGCGAGTTATATATTTTTGAAAATAATATAACCTTAAAAGGAATACGTTAGTAATATCTAATAACATCTTTTAACAAACCAACACATGTCGTTTGTTAAATAAAACTTCGTAAATGTGTGCCTACGAGTGCACTAACAGTAATCGTACTATATAGATACAAACGTGTCGAATTCTCTTACCAGTGCGATATTTACCGGCACGTGCTCTGCATGGATTGGCTATTCTCGTTGTCCAATTCTTCTATAATATGAGTTTCGTAGTAAATTTCAAGGTAGGCAAATTTGATAAAAAAAAATTTCTTTTTGCCATATTACATCATTATCATAATCTGCATCAATCATATCGTTGGTCTACCTTACTATCGTTACTATCGTTAGTCTATCTTACTTTTAATTATTTCCGTTTCGTTTAAATCTGTCTTATCTAGTTTAACGTCAGTATGAACAGGAGATTGTATCGTTTCCCAATTATTCTAAAATAATGATAAAAGTATCATTATCGCAACAATGAGTATCGACGTGTAATAAATACGCTTAGAAGTTCGGTTATTTCAACGCGTGGCGAATCAAAAGTATGATTTTTTGCTTTCCTGAAACTATCACAGCGCGGAGACATATTTTTCAATCTTTCCGAATCTCACATTTTTATCTTTACTTCTGTCGCATTATCAACGATCTTCGCATTATTTACAGATGCGGTTAATTATATTTTTTTACTTTCTGCTACTGTGTGCGATATGTGCTAAAGCAGACAAGAAGGTAAACAAGTATGTGACCACTTTAATAGATGCAAAATGGAAAGAAACACCCTTAGCTTTGGAAGCTGCTGAATATTTGAATGATGAAAATCCAAGTTACTTTTGGAAATTCGTAGATACCTTCGCCAATTACGATTTAAGAAATGGTAATATTATCTGTGTATTGAGCCTTATTAATCTAGCAAATTTTTTAAACAATTGCTTTTCCCTTTGCAGTTACAGAAAAAGAAAACTATGATGCTGTTATTGCATTTGCTGAAAAATATTTATCCAAGTCAGAGGTAGCATTATTGAAGTTAGGATTGTCTTTGCGAATCTATTCGGCACAAGTGGAAATGTTTACGCAGATGGCAGAAAATAAAAATATCTCTGCCTTTGATTGTTATAATGTAGTAAACATTGGCGGAGTCTTTACTTGTTCTTTGGAAGAATTAGAGGAACTGGCCAGTCAAGTAGGTGATACACATGTATGTACGTGTCAATTAATTTCAATTATATGTATTGGGTCATTTATTTTGACAGGATACTTGGTTACATTCAGATACTTATAGTGTGGATCATCGTTATCACGCGTCTCAACAACCAGAAAAAATTATTATATTGTATGGTCAGATAGGAACGCCAAAATTCTCAGATTTTCATAATAAATTAAAAAACCTTGCAGAAACCAAAGGAATTAATTACATTTTGCGACATTATTTAAAGGTATCATAGCTGTATTTAATATAATAATAAGTTTAATTTCTTTGACTTTGCAACAAGTTGTAACAAGCTATTTCACTTTATAAAAAATTTTTTTTATTATGAATTATACAGGATAGATCAGACAAAAATGTACGTTTATCAGGATATGGGGTAGAATTGCAGATGAAGTCTACTGAATATAAGGCAACAGATGATTCAGATATCAAAGATAATGCAGGAAAAGACTCAGAGACCACAAACGACAGCATGGAAGAAATAGATGGAATTAATTTTGTAACATTAAAGTAAGGTGGATATATTGTTAATATACATTTAGGTTTTATTTCCATGCTAATGTTAATTCTAAAGAAGTAATTAGTTCTGTATTTACTCTCTTTCATCTTTTTCCCTTCATTTTCCATAATCTGATACAATCATTTTAGAAAATTGTTTCCTGACAAGCAATCAGAGCTGGATAAATTACAAATTCATTTGCTTGAAACTAGTCATGAAATTGGTGCTTTAAAAGTGTGGCAATTTCAAGAATTAAGTCACCAAGCAGCCGAAAGAATAATGAACTCTCCTACAAACGAGGCCATTAACGTTTTAACAGATATTTCACAAAATTTTCCAATGCAAGTAAATATACTTTTATAGCATTAATAATCGCATCATGGTCATTTTGTAGTTTTAGTTCGTTTTATTCAATGTCATTTATTAATGTCAATATTTAACTTTTTTGAAGGCGAAATCTCTGATTAGAACAAAAGTGAACAACGAAATGAAGAAAGAAATGAAACTCAATCAAGCGATGTTTTCTACAAGCTTAAATATACAACCCACAGATACCGCGCTTTTTATTAATGGATTATTTTTCGATTTAGAAGCAGTAGATGTTCTCAGTCTCCTCGAATCATTAAGAAATGAATTAAGAGTAATGGAATCTCTTCGTAAGATCGGTACGACGAATGCTGTGTTATTAGGAATAACTCGTCAAATACTCGTTAAATGAACTATAACGAAATCATTTGTAGGATTTAGTAATAAAGAGATGAGCACACTGCTGGCTTTGGATTTATCTACTAACATGGATAAACAAGAATTTGCAATGGATATAAGAGATTCAGCAATAAACTGGATAAACGATATCGAACAGGATTCAGCTTATGCGAGATGGTCGTCGTCGTTAACAGAATTACTAAGACCAACCTTTCCTGGAATGCTTAGAAATATTAGGAGAAATTTATACAATTTGGTTTGTACACGTCATCAACGATCAAAAGTTATTACAATTTGCATAGATACAAATGTATTTAAAACCTATATACTTCAATAGGTATTAATTATCAATCCTCTAAGCGGAGAATCCACTTCTTTGCTAACGTTAGCACAATCTTTATATTTACATTCTGCACCATTAAGAGTAGGTTTCGTTTTTGTAACGAATTACGATACGTCTATAACTGGATTGAGTGACCCTAGTATCGCCGTTAACAATGCATTTCATTACTTCGTGGAAACTAAAGGATCGGAACATGCTTTGCAATTTCTGATAGACGTAAGGCCTTATGGTATTTGATCATTCATTGTGCAGTCTCACTAATCACATACATGAAATGAACAATATTTATAACACATGATACATCGTTTTAGTTAAGAAATTACATTGGGCCAGATGATGCGGACGTAGAGGACGTAAAGAAAGCAATAAAAGTGCAAGATTCATCTGCTAACATAAATTATATCCTTGGTGAAGAATCTGAATATGACGTAGGGCGTCACTTAGCTAATGACTTTGTAAAGCGGTCTGGTTTTAAAAAATTCCCGCAAGCCTTGTTAAATGGCGTACCTTTGTCATCTGATCAATTGAATGCCAATTCATTCGAAGAAGCTGTTCTATCTACCATCATGTCGCAGACGCCTGCATTGCAAAAAGCAGTATACCGAGGAGAAATAACCGAAGGAGACGATGTAGTCGATTATATCATGAATCAGCCGAATGTTATGCCTCGGTACGAGATTTTCGTTCGCACATATGATCCTTAGAATTTCAGTTCGTTTTAATTCGTCGTCGTACGAATTGTGGAAAGTAATTATATCTATTTAGGCAAAAACGATCGAAAACTGATTGTCTTTATTCGCTTGTTACAGCTTAAACGAACGAATATTAAAACCAGAGAAACACACTTGGTTGAATTTAGTTGGCAGTATACCAAACGATGAAGATTACGCTAAATGGAGTCCCCAAGATTTATCAACCTGGTTGATGAACAAAATGCGTTACATGTACGTACCACGTCGTACAAGTGTGCATCATTTATACACCTTTTGGATTGTAGCAAATTTAAATGATCCAGAAGGCAGATGTTTATTACGTGAGGCACTTGAATACATAGTAAGTGATTTCTCGTATTTGCTTATATGCATAGTTATACAATAAAGTAAGCAAATAAATTATTTTCATTAATGTTTAAACACAATTGTGATTGTGAAATACTCAATTACGAACGATTAATTATGATTCAGGAGTCAAATGCAGATGTCAGAATTACTGTAATCGTTAATCCGCTCGTCAATACTAATGATGATGATGATACGATTGACATTAATCAAATAGTTTTAGCTGCATTGCACAGTCTACCGGTAGAGAAGTCTATACGGTTCATTCGTAACATAATTAAGGAAGATGTTGCTAGAGACGGCAAAATTGACGTGGAGGTGATTATTTTTTTTTTTTTTTTTTTTTTTTTTACCAAAAAATTTGCCAAAACTAACAGATATTTAACAAGCTGTCGTAAAATTAGGAAGAGGCTGTGAAAGAACGATTGAAAAATCAAGCCGATGAATTGTTTATACATCGTCGATACGTCAAAACGGTACTAAATCTAGAACAAGGAGCTAGAGCGATCGTGTGCAATGGACGATTAATCGGTCCTTTAGATGACGGCGAAGAATTTACAAGCGAAGATTTTTCGTTGTTGGAAAGATTCAGTCAAAGTACCTATGACGATAAATTGTTCAAGAAATTGATAAAGGGACAATTGTTGGAAAATGACGAGTATGGTACGAAAGTTAATCTTGTAGTGGTAATATACGCATGTGATATAAAACCGATATAACATTTTGTTGATCATTTGTGCAGAAAGAAGCGAAATCACCGATGATATGATAATGAAAATTACATCCTTGTTAGCATCGCATCCTCAAACACGAAGTCGATTTCACGTTCCATTCCACGGCGATGAATACAGGTGAGGAGTCCGATATAATGATAAAAAAAGAATACTTTTAACGAGCAAGAACTGAACAATTACACAATTTCTGACGTTTTAATTGTTAATACATCTAGTGCCATAAAGGTTCCAGCAACGAATCCGGACGAAGTGGCATTTAACTTAATCGCTATTGTCGATCCAGTATCTCGCGGCGCTCAAAAATTGGGACCGATTTTGAAGACGCTTCAACAGTCTCTGAACTGTAACGTTAAAGTGTTTTTAAACTGTTTGGACAAAAATAGCGATATGCCGTTGAAAAGGTAGTAACATAGGCATTGATTCAATTTCATGCAAAATTAAATTAATACCTGCGTATTTTATTTATGTTATTTCAGTTTCTATCGCTTCGTATTCGAACCTCAATTACAATTCTCCCCTGATGGACGTGTCAACGGCGCTATGGCGAAATTTACAAAATTACCAACTTCGTCTCTTTTGACACAATACATTCACGCACCAGAAAATTGGTTGGTGGAAGTAGTCAGGAGCGTTTACGATTTAGACAACATAAAGCTGGACAATGTCGCAATTGGAGTGCACAGGTGAGTGAATCACGCTGGAAGAAGATGTATTTAAAGTGTATTTATTTATTTGCTATTCGTTGTTGCAGCGAATTCGAATTAGAACATTTGCTACTCGAAGGTCATTGTTTCGAAGCAGTAATCGGAAACCCACCTCGTGGATTACAAATCACACTGGGGACAGAAAAGCAACCGTTAATGGTGGACACCATAGTAATGGCAAACCTGGGATATTTTCAGTTGAAAGCTAACCCAGGCGAATGGGTGTTGCGTCTTCGACAAGGAAGGTCGGCGGAAATCTATGATTTCACAACTATCGGTGGTCAAGATGTTCTGCAGAACGCCAACGACGTGAAAGTTGTGATAAGTTCTTTAAGAAGCCACGTGTTGAAAGTCAAAGTATCCAAGAAACCGGACAAGGTGGGAGTGGATCTTCTATCGGAAGATGATAAAAGTTCTGGCTTGTGGAACTCTATCTCTAGGTAATTAAAACTTGTGCTGTTCCTTTTCCTATAGGTTGTGCGTCGATTACGCCTTTTTGGAATAATTTCAAACTCGCGTTTGCGCTAATCATAGGTAGAAATGTGAAATATTTTTAATACGTCATTAGGCGATTCTCCAATTTTAATTTCTATTTATCCTCTCTCTCTCTCTTTTTAGCTTTTCCAAATTTTGGTAAGCGTTCAACAACTATTTAAACATTATACGCGTATAATCGTATATCGCATATCGTCCGTAATAACGTAGAGATACATAATTATTTTACCAACCGTTTCACATTTTAAACGTTTTAAGCATTGTACATTTGAATACAGTATTATGTGATACGATCTTTTAATCGCGTTATCTTCCTGAAATTCAACGAAAGCACGTTTCTTAATTTGATTGCTTTCTTCGAAATTAGGACATTTACAACAACAGAAGACAGCGACGATCAGGATGAAAAGTTAAATATCTTCTCTTTAGCCTCTGGACACTTGTACGAAAGATTTTTGAAAATTATGATGTTGAGTGTTATAAAGCATACGAAAAGTCCCGTCAAATTTTGGTTCTTGAAGAATTATCTCTCACCAACGCTGAAAGTAAGCGTATTTACATTTCTAAAGCGAAATTGATAAATAAATCAAACACGATTGTAAGTACGCAAGGACGCTGTCGATCAAGCTAAATGTTTTTTTTTTTTTAATTGTAGGATTTTTTACCGCACATGGCAAAAGAATACGGTTTCGAATATGAATTAGTACAGTACAAATGGCCTCGTTGGCTCCATCAACAGACTGAAAAACAAAGGACCATATGGGGCTACAAGATACTATTTTTAGACGTGTTGTTTCCGTTAAACGTTAAGAAGATAATATTCGTCGATGCTGATCAGGTATGAAAATCATGCACTTACGTTTTTATACAGTTTCATACGTTTATATACGTTTGTGATTGCTGCTGCTAGGTTGTAAGAGCTGATTTAAAAGAATTAGCCACCATGGATCTCGGCGGCGCACCATATGCGTACACCCCATTTTGTGACAGCAGAAAGGAAATGGACGGCTTTAGATTTTGGAAGCAAGGTTACTGGCGGAATCATTTACAGGGACGTTCTTATCACATTAGTGCTCTGTACGTGGTAGACTTGAAGCGATTCCGACGCATCGCAGCCGGAGATCGTTTGAGAGGACAGTACCAAGCACTGAGTCAAGATCCTAATAGTTTGGCCAATTTGGACCAAGTTCGTACGACAGTACTGATAGTAACATCGAATTGATTTGATTAACTAATACGTGATAGTTACAAATACCGTGTCATTTTAGGATCTTCCCAATAATATGATCCATCAAGTAGCTATTAAAACATTGCCACAGGAGTGGCTATGGTGCGAGACTTGGTGCGACGATGAATCCAAGAGATATGCTAAAACTATAGATCTGGTAAACAGAGTTTATATTGTAGATTTTTTTCATACAGCTGACAATACATTTCTAATATCAATTTAACCTTTAATGACGTTTGATCGTTGTATCGCGCAGTGTAACAATCCAATGACTAAAGAAGCAAAATTACAAGCTGCCGTACGTATATTACCGGAATGGATAGGTTACGACGAAGAAATAAAAGCTTTGCAGTTGAAGCTAGAAAACGAGAATAGACAAACGGAGAAGGAAGAAAATGGTATCGATCGATAATAACAAGCAACGTTTTACGAACGTTTACTTTGTTATGAAATTAATTTTTTTTACCCATTCTTCTTACTCTTTCTGATTTTAGAAACATTCGAAGATATGGAAGCTTTTGCGAAGCATGAAGAACTCTAAGCAGAAATGATACGAAGAATGAATTTTCACTTTTCGGAAGGAAGAATTTTATGAAAAACTTTCCAAAACTAAATGAATCGTCTCAATATTCGTAAGCACGTTATTGCAGTGGCGCATGATTTTTTTTTTAAAGGTCAAAATATTGCAAATTGCAAGGCAAAATGGATCGCATCGTGAACTGATTGTACTTGAAATTCAGTCATTTGGAGCTGAACGCCGTGGTTATCGTAATATTCTAGTAGTTAATTGTAGACGGGGAACTATGTCCGTGCCGATAACATGTGATTTTGTAATGTCTACTTTATAGTTGTAAGAAATAAACTTGTAACGTTTGTAAGGTACTTTTTACACATACACGTGTTCCTTCGACGAATGAATGTGTCTTCACTTACACATAGAACAAGGAAATGTTCGATTTCATGTACGAAATCTTTGGCTACTTTTGTCGATGAACATCAATATTGGATCGATTGATTGATTCATAAAGAATAGATTTTATATATATCACAGTGTTGCGATAGATCGTGCGTTGCACACTTGAGCCAAGCTCCTTCGCGTGTATCACGTTTTATATGTTGCATTATTCGCATTATTTCAAGAGAAAGATTCGTACTTTTTAATAGAAAAAGGCAAGAATGGATAAAAACTATACGGAGCAATTGCACGTCGTACGTAATTTCATTCTGTTTTTCAACGTTCACCAGAATTTTAGGCTTTTATGTACGTCTATATTTATAATTATATTTACAATGAAAATATTTGTAAGGGGCGGTCGATTGACGAGACAACTAACTTGTCGGGCAAGTGTTCACATTGGCTCTTCATTTCCGACGCGAAGGCTAGTCACTTCATTCCTTTAATTTTTGTTATTTTTAGTAATAATACATTTTGCATGCAATGGCTTTCAATCTTCATGCGAATGGAACTACTCAGATTTTCGTACAATCCAGATATAATGATTTTTTTTTCATCATGGTAATGCCATTGAGACAATAGTTGCACCGTTGCTCTCACGTTATTAGCACAGAACCACATATGGTGCCTTTCGTAATAATGGCTCGCTTTTATTTCCGGGTCTTTTCGCTTGCGGCAAAAATCAAGCGAAAAAAGGAAGAAAGGGAAGACTAAACACATTCTTTATTACGTACACAGAAATATATTTTCTTGCTTCCTCTACTTACAATTAGTATTCTTTTGTATTTTAAATACAGTAAAAAAAATGGAACGCGGAAAATGGAATACTTGACTTTGTTCAAGTACCATTTCCATTTATGCGAATTTTTATAAAAATGATTTTGAATTTTAAGAATATCAGTTACAAAAAATCGAACTCTTGCTTTATGTTCTTTTATAGAAGTAATTAACTGGTAAAACGATCGTCAATTCTCAGACGTCGAAAAGAAAGTCGCAGACAAATCACAAGTATGTTCTTCTAAACCTGCGTCTACGAATCGTTTTATCGATAAATAAACTCATCGATGGTCGTAATCATTGTAGATTGTAGAGAGAAGAAATTAAAGAGAGAACAATCTCATGGGCAAGGAGAAATCGCGGGACTGTTTTTCATTCCATCCGAGCAAACGATCGATGGTTAGGTTTAGGTTAGGTTTCGATCGGACGATCGTGTCGGTAATAGGCAGAAATTACAAAGGGCTGTGTGATCGTCTATTACTGCGATCGCGATTGGAAACGATCAACGCAACGCCAGGAAATAACAGAAACAACGGAACGAGACGCGATTCCATGAAGCTACACGACAGAGACAGTGAATGACAAACAGATAGGGAATTTGAAAGGCAGAAACAGATAGAGGAAGCGAAAAGAAAGGTGGGGGCAATGCGAGGAGGAGGGGAAGGAAATCGGTAGAGAGCGATTTTGAAGCAGAGAGAGAGACAGAGAGAGATAGAGAGAGAGGAGTGGGGGAGGGAATAGAGAAGGACAAGGCGAGGAAAGGAGCGAGAGGAAAAGAGAGAAAAAGACGAGAAGAAACTGATCGAGAGTTAAGCTATCTGGTAAAACAAACGGACGAGACCGGACAGTGGGTTTCCTGCTAAAAGACGGGATGAAGTGGCAAACGGTTTGCGTTGTTGGTGTAATTGGTGACACGCGTCGGATCCATTCACGTTTTCCCGATTGGCCGAGGATTTAACACACTTGACGACTTTCTTCGATTGTACTCGCGTCGCGCCTTCTGTTCGCCTTCATTTGCCTTATCTTGTCTTGTCCTGTCTCACTTCGCCTCGCCTTGTCTCGCTTTGCATCGTCTTTCATCGTATTGCATCGCATCGCATCGCATCGAATCGAATCGAATCGAATCGAATCGCTCCGTCGTTTTCACCGCGTCGCGTTGCGACCACGCGTCTTCCTTTCCTCCCCTTTCGCTTTTCTTCACCTTACTTTTCGATCGATCTATCAAACGGTGGATTGATCTGGTTGCACATTACGATCAGCGCTGCTCGCACGTACACGCAACCGTCCTGCACGAGGATCATGGACGACGAAAGGATCAAGCTGTGAGTTCGACCACGTCCTTTCGAATTCGATCGGATCGAATCGGATCGGATCCAGCTCTCCCCACTTTCCCCCCACCGAGTAAATTCAACGGATCGCGTCGCGTCGTCGCCTAGCGTACACGTTTGTTCGATCGTTTTTTTGTAAAGATCCCCATTACCCATCCCGGGTTCGCGATTTTCACCACAAATATATTTTTTTTCGTTGAAGAAATCGGTAACAAGTACAGCGTACTTGCATCACTAACTGTCAGATACTTCTTTTTTTACTTAATCTCTCAACTCACATTCTATCGTCAAGAAAAATATTCGATCTGTCTGTCGCACGCTTTCACGAGATTCTGCCATCAAACTCGTACAATTTTCTCTGATTTCCCGGTAATTATTATTCGATTATCTCCTTTACTCTTTCTCTCATATTATTTCTAGATGCTCGTGTATCTTTAGCGATGAAATCGAACTTGAGATCGTATCCGAAACTAATGATACTAATGAATAAGAATAAGTTAATATATTATTACAAGTGAATGGATTTTTGTTCAAGATCTGTCGCATTGTCGATTCCGAGGCGAAATAAGATTTAAAGACATTTACATTCAGGTGCTATCGATCACGTTTAACTGCGTTCGCGTCTATCACTGTTGTAGTGCAAGATATCAAAACTTGGAGTTAATTGAAAAACCAAATACGCAAGTAAACAGACGTATGTTGTTACGTAAAAATTTTAGTTTTGTTCGCTTAATTAACGCTTGTTCATTCTAGTATCGTTGATCGATACTAAAAGATGCATTACGCGCGATCAAACACGCAATTACGTGGCGTACGTTGACGATTTTGGATATCGCGTTTGCCTACATATTGTATTATTGTTCGCCCGATTTGGACGATTTTGCACACGGCATTATCGTCGACAAGAGATATTCCTATGAATAAAGACATGACGAATGCGCACGTCGCATCGACATCCTCGACGATATCGTATTGCGAGATACGTGTGAAACGATAACGATCGTTAAGAATTGAGAGGATTATGCGCGATCTCACGTTTCCACTTTATCGTGGAATCGCGTCGCAATCGTTCTAATCACCGTTTTATCTCGCACGATCTGTTCGAATTTTAGGCGGCAATCTCTAGAGCCATTTCTAATTGAAAGGAAATCGAGAGAAAAATATATATATATCGCGATCTATACAAATAACTGATAACGATCGTAAACATTCATTAGCGATATACCTGCTTACGTTATACGTGTAAATAAAAAAATGTGGATTGGACTAGGCTTTTCAGAAGTAAGAGGGAGAGATTTTGTTATTACTTGCATCTATCTTCTACACATTCTACACAGTGAAATTTTTCTTCTTACGATAGAAGTGCGTCGAGAGACACGTCTGACACAGATCTCGCGTTAAAGCGAGATTAAAACCGCTTTAAAAACCGCGTTGAACACCTCTGGTCTCTCACTGGCTCGTCTTCCTTTTTCGTCTTTTCTCTCCTGTTGGATCTCTCCTCGAGATCATTTGCTTAACGAGAGAAACACACTGTGGACGTTGATTATGTACGATGGAAATTGTTGTAGAAACAATTCAACAACGTGACGGCGACACGATAATAAATTCGGTTGTAATCATTAACCTTCGTTCGCAGTTATCTTCCGCGTGAACGAAAACAAAGGCAAAGAAGAGAACGTTACGGACCAGCGTGTTTCTTGAGGATAGCTTAGCTTTGATTATATAATTGGTATCGCGTGCAAAGTAACCAGAGTAACCACGGGAGCAAAAATTGACGGTAACGGTATGGAATATGACGAGATCGAGGGGATACCGCAATGTATTACGAGTCCGGCACAATTCATTTCCACGGAATCGATCGCGTACGTGATCATCACGATCGTTCGTCAACTCCACCATCGCGTGCACGAGCGTGCTATGCAATAACGCACGCGCGTGACAAAAGAGACAGAAACCAATCGATCGTTCTTTTGTTTACTGGTTCTAGGTTCAAGGACAAGGCCGTGTACGGATATGGGACGAGCATTCCACCGAATAACAACGAGATCGATGAGAACGAAGAGACCTCGTCGAGGAAGGTGATCTTTTGCGTGCACGGCAAGCTTTCCGGCTGTTGCACCGTCGCGAAAGGTGTTACGTCGATCGAGGAAACAACACCTGCTGCAGCAGTTGTCAATGCCGCTACCGACCTTCAACAAACTTCATTCGGTAAGAATCTCCGAGAGAACATAACCTCTGCCCCAGATCAATTCGTTCGTTCGATTGAGAAACAATTTATCCTAATCTCAGTCTCAGTATTCTTCGTCATTTTTTTTTTTCTTTTTTGTCAGCTGCGCCCGAAGACCATTGTCACAGAGAAAGAAACGAGGAGATCGATAAAAAGGCAAGAAAGAAATTACTGCTTGCTAGTACGCTATGCGTAATTTTTATGATAGCAGAAATCGTAGGTAATACATCACGCATAGACATATACGAGTGAAATACTTGCATACGATATATACGTATTTGCTCATGAGAAAATTATCTATTATCCTAGCTAAGAATTAAAACGAATATACGATCAGTTTCTATCATTGAACGAATATATCATGGAACGGAACGCTTGACGAAACTTGATCGCTCCTTGACTTTCCAGGTGGAGTGCTGTCGAATAGTTTGGCCATCGCAACGGACGCTGCTCACTTATTAACCGACTTTGCATCGTTTATGATCTCCTTGTTCTCGATATGGGTGGCGAACAGGCCAGCCACGAAAAAAATGCCCTTTGGCTGGTATCGAGCGGAGGTAGGATAATACTTTGCTTTTCCAAAATTCAAATTACCATTACCTCGTCTTCTTACCATTGTCTCTTCTTCTTTCTTAACATTCGTCGTTTCTTTCACAGGTAATAGGAGCCTTGACATCGGTGCTATTAATATGGGTGGTTACTGGAATTCTCTTCTACCTAGCAGTCGAGAGAGTAATTCACAAAAGTTTCGAATTAAATAGCACCGTCATGCTGATCACCTCTGCTGTTGGCGTTGCGGTAAATCTAGTGTTAGTGATATACATTATATTCAATCGGAACAATTTCGATCGTTCGAGAGCTTGTGAGATTAAATCGATCGCACCTGCAACGCAAGATGTGTAATACACACATTTTAAGTTTTAGCATCGGCCCAATTTTCGTGTTGCAGGATGGGTTTATCGCTGCATCAGCATGGTCACAGTCACGGACACGATTCGCACAATTCGAATCGAAATATAGAGAGCGAGAAAATCGACGAGGAAGATCTTTCCCGCGATAAAAGGAATATCAACGTTCGCGCTGCTTTCATTCACGTTTTAGGAGACTTTATACAAAGCGTAGGTGTCTTCGTTGCGGCATTGGTCATTTATTTCAAGGTATACTTGCATACTTGCACGCATACTTGTACGCGATGTTGTGTTCTCTCACGAATGCGAAATTAATACGCAGCCAAGCTGGAGCATTGTCGATCCGATTTGCACCTTCCTTTTCTCACTGCTGGTTATATTAACTACCGTTGCGATAATCAAGGACGTGATGAACGTCTTAATGGAAGGAATTCCGAAAGGATTGGAGTATTCCCAAGTGGAAAACACGTTCATGCAAATCGAAGGTGTGGTCAAGGTACACAATCTTCGCATCTGGGCACTCTCGCTGGATAAAACCGCGCTGTCCGCGCATCTTGCAATAAGTAAGCGCGTTTCCATTTGTTTCCTTTTGTTTCCATTTCCAGTTGTACAATCAAATCTAACCGAACTGTTTCTCTTCTTTCCACGAAAGAACCAGGTGCCAGCCCTCACAATATACTACGCACTGCCACTAGAAACATTCACGATGAGTACAAATTTTTCGAAATGACGCTTCAAATAGAGGAGTTTGACGAACGAATGGAAAATTGTAAACAATGCAAAGCATTATCGCAGTAGCTGAAAATGCTCCGAGATGCAATCGAATTTGATCGCAAGAAATCACAAACTGTGCGTCGTGAATTCTCAATTCGTGGAAGCTTTTCTAAAGTTATACCCGCCGGCATAATTGTAAAATCTACATAAAATCAACGTTTCACTCATTCGTAACAATTATGAATTGATGCAACAATTTATTCGCAAAACATGGTCTAGTATCAAAACAGTCATCTACTCTCTTTCTTTCTTTTTTTTTTCTTTTATAAAACATGGAAAATACGGCTATTTATTTTAAACGCGACTTTCAACAAGGTAATTGGATAATCATGTATATAAATAGTTGGAAAAAATGATTTATTCTGTATTTACGTTTACTAGCAAGGGAAACTGTGTAATCGTAATGGAAATAAAATGAAAACTAGAGAAGAAGAACAGATCAAAAAGATTGAGATTAAAAAAGTGTTCAATTTATTTGTGTCTTGTGACAGCGAATGTTTTCAAATTGAAATGTTTCGAGTCAACCCGCCAAATATATCGACACATCGAGTTTTTATTATCGATGTCGGTAGCGCTCTGTCGGTAACTTCAGACACTAAACCTCGTACAAACGTGTTGCGTACGTAACCTCTTCGATCTTGGTTACATATTCGCGACGGCTGTCAAAACATCTTCCGGATGCTAGCTATGTCGAAAGAAAATCCATCGAGTTCGGAAAATAACGGGAGAGATGCATCCACGCTATCGGAATTATTCGACAAAGCTTTCGAGCTGTTTAATAACATCAATAAAACAGACGAACCTACCAACAGTTCCAAAGTTCAGGTACTGGTTATCAATGCAAATGCGCGTAATTGTTCAAAAGATTCCTTTCTCAAACCTAAACTTTTAGCGGGAATATCCTGTTTTTTTTTTTAGAAATTCCGCGCTTGAATTGAACGTCATTCTCAAATATCAACGCGCAAATAGCTTGTAGTCGTCCCATGTACACGCGTAATACATGTCTTTCTATTTTTCTTGCTACATGTCAGTCTGATATCAGACGAGCCATGAATATGTTAGAAGAAGCTACGAGGCTAGTCTCCATAGTCGATATGTTTAGCCAGAACGAAAGTTTCGAAGAAGTGGCTACAGAAAACGTCAAATACTTTTTACTGCCAGCGTTCCTTGGTACACTCACTACGAAAATTTGTAATACAGATGACCGAATGAACATCGTTAACGTAGCCGAGATTTATTTCGTGGACTTTTTGAAACGCGTTAAGGCTTACGGTTTGACCGACATCGAGATACCGGAGATTAAACCGGAACGCGAGAACGAAAGCGTATCTACGAAAGTTCGAACGAACGCGGAGCTGATTACTGAGATGGTAAGCGTGTCATTCGTTCATTTCGAAACGATAATTCTCTATTACGATGCAGCGTACCTATTGCATTACACACTGTCTACTATTTACATATTGCAGGTAAATCGGCGAAACACGAAACTGCAGAGGTTCAAAGAGCAAAAACAGTTGGAATCACGTCTGGAGATATTGAGGAAAAGTCTGTCCGACCCAAACATTGACGACGAAGTTAAAAGAGATTATTTCGTAACTCTTATAAAATTGTACGTGAACCTGACGATAGAAGAGTTGAACTCGTTGGCAGCCGAGAAACCAATTTTGGAGCATATGAAAAACGTGGGAAAGGCTGAAACCATGTCTGCCCAGAACGTTTCGCAGAAACGTAAACCGTCCCCGCCAAAGTTACGACCGATCATTATTACCCGAAATGACGTCGAGAAGAAAGTGTTTGGAGTTGGTTATCCTAGTTTACCTGTTCTCACCGTACAAGAATTTTACGAACAACGCGTGAAAGATGGAGAGTAAGTAGAAGATCGTACTTTCAACTGTCGAAGATTAGTTTCTCTTTGAATAAATCTTTCAATTTATTTCTCTTTTAGCTGGCCGGGTCCCTTGCAACAACAGCATCAAACAAATTCGAGATGTCTGCAAGATTTGGCAAACAGAAGCGAAATGGACGAGGAGCAAGAAGACGTTAAAAAAGAAGAAATGATCGAAACAGATGATCCGGAGACCTTGAGACAATTACGTGCCATGGATGAATACAAAGATACGCATAGAAGAGGATGGGGTAATCGTGCTAATAGAAGTTGAATGGAAATATACACATATATCAAGAATGTGCTAGTGAACAGGATTTACATTTAATTTATCAGTCCTCTGCATGATGTTCTATCGATAACTTTCGGATGTTCACCAGATTAAATCGGAGTACTCTTACCTTAAAGATAAGATATATCTTCATTTTCTGAAATCGTGTCTTTCCGGAGACAACAAAGATATGTATTTGGTTATGTGACAATAGTTTGGAATAAATAAAAGAATTATGCATTTGTAAAGAAGTATTGCTCTATCTTATTCTTACTCTTGCTACAAAAGTTGAAAAATTACTTCTAACTTGCAATTATTCAAACCAGTGCTTATTCAAACCTCGTTATTTATTGAATAGAAATTTCAAATCTTTCTACGTGCACATTGCAGGATAAATAAAAACTATAGGAAGAAAGTTGAGGGTCTAATTTCTGAAAAGACAACTAAAAAAGTTTAAAAATTAATCCTATTAATTCATTTTTTTTTGCAAATGAAAATTCATGGATTCATGTGAAATGCTAGCGCCACGTAGCGGTGAAATGGTGAAAATAAATCTACTGCTGAGATGGTGCTGCCATCTAAGACAATCTTGACTGTGGCTGAAAGTAAAAAGTCAAAACTGAAAAATTTCACAGATGGCAGCACGTATCTTGTCTCGGGAGATCGTTCTGAACAATCACGATAGATGACAGCACCATGCTCATTTGCGATCAATTTGCAAAAGAAACTGATCAAGGAGTTTAATCTGCAAATTGTTACGATCGTTTTTTCAAAATTATACCCTCGACTTTGGTCGCATAGTAAATTTTCCGAACAAACTTTTTTTTTCTCAAAATTTTTCGTTAGTACCGATGATTGTCGATAGATGGCATCAGCATGCCCTTAGCGAGACAGTTTTCACTAATCGCAAATAATTAACGAATTAACTATATAAGAAATCGAAGCGATAATATAAAAATACAGTTCCTTAGTGACAGACAACTCTATTTTACGATTGGTTTGGAGTAAATAAATAAAGAGAAAAAAAGCTCGAACAAAGCTTTTCACCTGGAAAGAAAAACGAATTAAATTTTACTCCTTCCTTGACGGAGAATCACCTCTTACTCAACTGTGCTTCCACCCGCATTGAGACACTCTGCATGGGTACGTATGTTTCGATGGCAAGCCACGTGATAGATACGATGTCTTTGTTGTGCAATTAGTCAATGGTTGAAAGCATAACAAGCTAAGCAGATGGCGCGAGCTATCGGTGGCGCGGGTGTCGGCTAGTAAAACGGCGATATCGCAATGCGAAAGTGTGTGTTGGTACGTGCGTGGGAACGGTATGCGTCAGCAACAGGTTGTCAAGTTGCTGGAGCACGTTCTCGCGTTTCTTATTCTCAACGTAAGTGAAATCGGCCTGAAGTCGAGGGAAGTTATTTAGAGAGACGGAGAGAGACGCGGAGGTCCGTGGTTAAAGTGTGGTTAAAGTTTCGGAGGGAAACGAAGGTGCTCGGAGTTATGTGGTGCTCGGAGCAACGAGTCGCGCGCGATTCTCTCCGCGAGATGGGCGCGATGCAGAAGCTCGCGTTGTGCGTCGTTGGTTCTTGTTGTTAGAAGTGGCAGATGATCCGAACGTGTTGTCTACAAAACTAAAAACGCGCGTAAAACTCACTCCGTCCGTAATAGAGTAATACTCGAGTTCTCAGATCATAAATTCGTACGCGGTTTCTTCTTCCTCGGGGGTTCAGATCAGCCACTGTCAGTTTGGTTAATCGTACTTTGGAGAACGAAATGGCAAGCGAAATGAAGGACACTCACGGATCGCGTCCGCTGGCGAACGAACGTACGTATTTCGTTCGTAAATTTCTTCACCACGCGTGAAGGTTAAGAGGCACAGTCGCGTTCGACGTCCGCGATTTCATTCTCCATGTGTACGGGGGCGTGTGTAGTCGTGTGACAAACACGAACATGCATCTTTCGCTAGGTGCGTACGTGCGCTTGTATTCTTGTTTACTCGCGTCTCGTGCCATTTTCTTTCAACACTGGCCGCTCGAACGTGTCGGCGACACTTCCTCGTTCATGTTAATTCGATTTGTGCTCCACTTTGGGAAAGCGGATTACAAACTTCTCGAAAAGAGGTGACTTGTGTCCGACAAACACACTCACGTACGTCGTCTCGAGAACGATTTTCTCGATAGAATCGAGAACCGCCATGATCGAAATAACTCTGCGAATTATCTCAGAATGTTTGAACGTCTTTTCGCCATTTTCCCTCTTTTTTCCAGATATCCAGGGGAAAAACTTTCGAGTCGCAGACTATTGAACGGCAGGTATCTTTCTAAAGTGCGAACCATGGAGAGAGCGCAGGCAACTACGTACATAGAGGGTGACAACCATCTTTTGGACTATTGGGAGGAGTATGAAAAAATGATGGAAGAGACCAAGTTGTTGGATGATTACCTGGAAGAGGAATGTCCACGCAATTACGACGGTACGTGTTTTTTTTTCCTCTCTTCTCTCTTTCGTCCCTCTCTCGTTATTTGATTTGGAATTTGTGGCGACAGTGGCGCGAGAAATAATTGAAATTGGCTTGCAAAGATGGCGAGGAGGAAGCGGAATGGTTGCGTACAGCCGGCTTGGGACAGCTGACGGAGGCGTGGAAGGCTGGAAGAGAGGTCCAGCCGGACGAGTTGGGCATAGCGTTGCGCCCGTTGTCGCGGGCACAGGCCGAAGCGGTGAAACGTCGCGTTAAGTCGTTGAATCACACGGTGAAGCAGCGTTTCAACCAACGGCAACGCGTTCGCAAGCCAGACATCAGGGACGTCTTTAAAGACGTGGAGGTACGAATTACTAAACTATGAAGAACAAGAGCGAGAGAGAGAGATACAGAGAGAGTTGACACACGTGCGATTGTTGTGCAGGCATCCAGCACTGGAACGAGATCACGTAGCGCCACGCCCGACTCGCTGGATTCCGTGACGCCGGAGAATGCCTCGCCTCCGCCGCTGGCAGCCGTAAGCACAAAGTAAGACGTCGTTGTTATGCTTTTCCGCGCCGACTCAACAGCCACCTGTACACACACATCTTAATCGTGTTTTACATTTTAAGTACTGTTACCGTGCCAAACTTTGTGTCAGTTTTCCACCAATTGCCAAACGAATGCAAATGCAAAGAAACGGTACGTAGAACACCGAGTGTGCCACCATTGTCGGCCACCATCGACGCACCTTCGGTGCTGCCTGTGTTTCCTTTCGGAAACGTCGTCTCTTCGAGCGGACGCGGTGGATACTCGTTGCGTGGAGACGTCGCTAACGATTCAGGTATCTGCTTTGCTCTCTCTCTCTCTCTCTTTCGATTGTAGCAACCGACCATTGCAGCATGGAATTCTTCATTTGCAGAAGGAATTCAGCTGACCAGCTACCACAGACTCGGAACGATACACGTTTCCAAACTACCCAGTATACAGAGGCGAAGCGGAAGCGATCCCAGCGAGGTGGCGAACGCGACCAGCCTCGGCGAAACTCCCGACAAGTTGAACAGCCCGACGAC